TGCGCCATGAGCTGGATGTCCGCCGACCTGATGGTGCCCAGGCGTCGGGATGTAGAGTGGGATGTAGGGTTGGAAGTGTCGTGCCCTTGGTTGCCACACCTCTTTCCATGTAGCTTGTCTTGTGCATTGGGGTAGTTCTGTATTGGCTAGTGGGCGCTACGCTGATGACCTGAAATGTTGACTGTTTAAGGCAAAAGGCTATTGCCTGCCAGGCATTGAGGCCCTCACAGGGGATTCTGGAGAGTCATATGTCTGAAGAATTCCGTGGCTTGAGGGTCTTTCGCACGTTGCTGTCGCAGTTGTGCATATCTGCTGTCCCAGCTGCAGTCGCAAGCACCTCGACACACCTCTGGAGAAACCCCCTGTAATTCCAGCACAGTCGAGCCATGGGCAATGAAACATGAAGGATTGTCCAGGTGCCCTGAACAAAAGGTCCCTCGCGACTCTGTCCAATTGGGCCGCAGCAGCGTGCAGTCGCAACGTAGAAGGGCAAGAGTTTCGCATGCCACGGAGGAGCGACTGGTTTCGACACTGATACAGCCCCGCGGACTCAATAGTGTCGGCCAGTGTTTCAGAGACCCGCGCCCTAACCCAAGTCCCGAAGCTTTTTACGGCTCTGGTAGACCCGGCATGGCCATTCATTTGTGCGGAGTGCTTTGTCTTCGGGACTCAGTGGCGGGGTTTCTCGAGTGAACTGGGGGTGTGCGAAAGATGTGGTCCTGAACTCTACACATGCTCCCCAAAATAGGGGAACCCCTGACTTCTACCCCAACATACCATCATAATATATCATAATCCTATATAAGCATTGGAGGTTGGACACACGATGACACGCACCGCTCTCATGAGAGCTTTACTTCACCAAGATAGCGAACGTCGGCTTAAAGACCTGACTCATGAATCTGGCAACTTCCCCCTCTATATTCTCCCTTGTGGGGTGCTTGTGATACGTCGTGCCCGAGTATTGAGGATACCCCAAAACAGGGACCCTGATTTAGAGAAGTGACCCTTTGAGTTTCTACTGGGTATCAAGGCAGGACAGTCCCTGGCGCAGCGGGGAGAGGGGTGCAAAGCCCTAAACCCTAAACCCTAAACCCCTAAACCCCTAAACCCTAAACCCTAAACCCTAAAGCAGCATACAGCTCAGTGAAGGTATGGGGAGCCGAACGGTCAGACGGCAATGGCAAAGACAGCTGCTCGGCCTCCGGGGTTTAGGGTCCAGGGTGTAGGGTTTAGGGTTTAGGGAAGTAGCCATGTCAGCTTCCTTTTTCAACGGGGTGCCAGCCATCACGTGTGCACGAGAGGAACTCCGCATCCTTTCAAGCCTTGATTCTGCGCCTGATTTTGCGCTGGGAGGTTGGCCTCACCACTGCGATCGGTGCTGAGCTCGTCCTGGATCGGCCGAAGGAGCTGAAACAAGATTGTTTTGCTGTGGCGGTGAATTCTGGCTTGGGGTATGTGAGGTGACGAGTTCGGCGATCAACTCCAGCAGTGATTCCGTCATGGCCACAAGACTAAAAGACTGATGTCGGCCGAATTTGGTGACTGCCTTAGGACTTAGGATTGGCTTACGTGGTGTTTCGAGTGTAGGAGTTCCCTTTGTCGTAGACTCCCGAAACGATTTCGGGAAATTCTGGCTCACATGCCGATTTGAAACCAGACGTGATGTCACAACTCTTGGCAAGAAAAGGGTTAAACCGATTTCAAAAGAACATAGCCATCAGGTTCGTCCGTTGTGCTGAAAACCCAAAAAGCTCCCGAGCTGGGGAACCCCCATGAAACGTAGCCTGATCTTATGGCGACTGCTCTCCGGGAGCTTCAAAGGCAGTCCCTAAACCCTAATACCCCAAAACCTTGAACCCTAAAACCCAACAAATTTGGAAGGACTTCGGTGTCGGAGTACAACGCCCCCTTCGAGCCGACTGGCCGGGGGGGAGGGGGGACAGGGCTGCAAGCTTCTGCTTTGGGAGTTGTTTGGGCTTGGCTGACCTGCCCTTTGCTATGACCACTGTGCTCGTGTGTGTGTGTGGGGAAAGCCCCGATTCTAGAGCTCAGGGTTCTTGCAAGCTTTCGATTGCTGCGTCGAGTTCCAGTGGTCCCTTGTTTGCGTCCACGCTCCGTGTTCTCGCGCCTCCATCAATCCCTCCTGATAGGCCCCCCCAAACTTGAGCTTAAATCTAAACCTTACCACGAACCGGGGAGGGGATGTGAGGAGGGAGAGGGAGGGGGTGGGGGGGGGGGGGGCAAACAGCTGGTGCAGATGAGTCTAAACCCATCGTGAAGAATCTGTCTCTCTCTCTCTCTCCCTCTCTCTCTCTCTCTCTCGCTCGCTCGCACGGTCTAGCTCTCTCTCTCTCTCTCTTAATCTTGTTATTTTGTATTCTTTCTATTTATTCTTTCTCTTTCTCTTTCTCTTTCTCTTTCTCTTTCTCTTTATCTTTCTCTTTCTCTTTCTCTTTCTCTCTCTCTCTTTCTCTTTCTTTCTCTCTCTCTCTCTCTCTCTAAAACCAGCAGCTGTGCAGGTACCAGCCCATGCTTTCGGAGCTGGAGGTAGCTGCGCAGCACACAGGGCTTTCAGGGTGTCAAGATACCCTTAACCTACATCTCCCTTGGGAATTATTTTTTTGATTTTTGTTTATATAAGCTTGATATTCATGGGAGTTCACATCAAGGTCGAGTCCATGAGAAACCGCACAGAACCCAGCTGCCAGCATCCTGAATCATGGAGCTGCCCGCCCGAGCCTTTTCAGATAACTATGATCCGTTCCAATCTTTCAGCACCTCTCCCGGGTTCTCAAGGCAGAGGGCATCTTCTTGCGAGAGCATGTCGAGCCACTCCTCGACGCACCCAAGACTTCATCTTGCGCTCTGGCTTGCCCATGCTTGCCCAAACAAGAATGCTACCAGTACTGATTGTAGCACTGAGGCTTCAGGTGATTCAGCGATCCTTGTCATAAGGAAGTCCTTAGGTTCACAAACCAATTCCTCAAAGTGGAAGTCTTGGCCTATCGATCCAAAACACCCAAAGCTGTCGGAGCATCCCGGGATGCAGGTCATTAGGCATTGCGACCGCCTGCAAGAAGAAATGGCTCCTCGATTCCCACCCTGAACCCTAAAAACTAAACCCCAAACCCTAAACCCTGAGCATAGAGCAACTTGCAAGGTCGGGAACTTAACCAGGCAGAGAGCACTTCGGCGCACTCGCATACAAACTATCCTCCTGCATAGCCAAGGAGAGCCGATGAATCTTCCTGGCCCCACTTCCGCTTTGAACCGGAATGGGGTTTCTGCATCGCTCAGATCGCGAAGTCGGACTCGCAGCCGAAAGTTTGGAAGTTGAGTTGCACTTCCCGTGCCTTCCCTCGCGGCATCCACTCCCTAACCCCTCCGTTGTAAACCTTGAAGCCGAATCCTAAGAATCTCAGGCCTCATACACACCCGACACAACCCCCAGCCCACACTCTTCAATCCCTACTGAGGGTGGCGAAGCCAAAACCAACCCAGAACCTAAACTCCTAAAGCCCACCCTAGAACGACCTACTCTACCCACAGTATGCCAAGTGTAAGCCGGGGTAGCGGCTTGATGACGCGACGAATCTGTACTCCAACCCCAGCCTTGTCTTCATAGAGCCTCCAGCCAAGGACAGACCAAGGATGACAGAACCTTCGGGAAAAAGCTTCGTGAGTTTAAGGAGGGATGTTTCAGTGGTTTGAGTGTTGAGGCGAGTTGAGGGCGTTATGCTTCAATCCCAACGTGCTTTGCTGATTGTTTGGTGGAATTGCAGAAAGGCCAAAAGGCGCAAGAGCACGGCGTGTTGTGTCACAGAGCGCAAACACCTGCCCATCACCTTATATCTGGTGACGAAGAGCATATCTCAATTGTGCCTACTAGTCATGGCTTCAGCTGGCGTTCTGAAGTAGTCAATCCTGTCCATAGGTCCCTCACTGCCAAGGAGCTCATCTTGCCTATCCCCTCTTCCACTTTTGAACGACGGGGTTCTCCATGCGTCGTGAGCTCGCAATGCAGCTTGTTTCGTTTTTGAGATGGCCTCTCAAGCTTAGACATGCGCTGCACGTACGCGCCCCCTCTGTTTCTGTCTCAGCTTACTCGATTTACTTCTTAAGGGCTCTATGCCCAAACGTATAAACTGGCAGTGCCAAGCTTGCGAGTGATCAGTTCTAATTCAGAGAATTCGAGAGTCATATGGCTCCGCAGATGCGTGCCAACAAAAGAAAACATGGTTGGCCGGCTGGCCGTTGCTGCCAGTGTCATACTGAAGTTGACGTGCGTCCACATACCTGACATATCTTGGTATCTTGTTCGTCATGGGTACAGTGCAATGGGTGCTGGGGTCGCAGCCGAGATTTCTTGGCTCGTCAGGTGGCCTCAATCGTTGCTAACACCAGGGCCATGAACCGAACCGTGAGGAGGTTTCTTGCGGCCTCCATCACCTCGCTGGCCTTCCAGCATGCTGCTGCCAGCCGAGGTACCTGTCAGTGCGACGGCATCCTCGATTGGAATGACCCCAGCTTTGGTAGGTGCGACTGGTGGGGCGATGTCCACATCACCAAGAGCTGGCGGTCTCCCGAAGCCTTCGACTTCCAAGGCTATGGCGTCTACAGCTACGCTTCCACCACCAAGTGCGGCGGAGACTTCGAAATGCAGATTTTCCAGTGCCCGTACAGCAAGAACGGCAACGCCGTGGCCATTGGAGTTGCGGTGAAAGTAAATGACGGGGACGTCGTTGTTGTGGCCAATGACACGGTGTTCAATCCCAACAATGCCGACGTCTCTGCAGACTCGATGGAGAACCTGAAGAAGGGAGTCAGCATCATCAGCGACGACAAGTGCGTGCGCCTCAACGTCAACACCAAACTCTATCGAAGGGCCCCAACCCTCCTGCACAACGGGAATCTGCGGGTGATCAAGGAGGCGCTGACCAACGAGGGCATCTGCGGAGCCCCGAAGCGGCGAGTTCGTGGCCCCGGGCGGCTCCGACATGCTCTTCCCCGAGGAGATGTTCGAAGACATGTGTGGGTTTTGCGAAGCTCAGACGGGTGTCGCGGTGCCCGGCTGTGCTCCTGCTGGTGGCGGTGACCCGGAAATATCCCCGGGCTGCGACTTCATGAAGCTGAGGCCCAGCAGAGAAGTCGTGCACTGTGCCGGTGATCAGGATGCGGTGCTTGAAGAAGCAAAGGCTGATGGTGAAAACTGTGTCGCGTATGTGGCCCTGCAGAAGCACACCTCGTGCTCCGAGTTCTGCGAGGAGAAGGGCTCCACATGTGAGATGGCCATTGACCAGCCGAACGGCCAGAAGTGCGTGGCCTCCGTGTCCAGCTTGAATGAGATCGACACAAGCAAAATCAATTGTGAGGCCAAGGGCTTTCGAGATCTCATCTGTGTTTGCAAGAAGCCGGATAACCCGGCACCCGGACCGACGCCGGAGGAGGCGTGCGCCGCTCAGCATGACTTCTCCGTGCAGGATGCCGCAGACCTGTGCAGAGAGAAGGTGGACTTCCTCAAGGGAGTGGCCTACCCGGGCACCGCAAGCAATGCAGCTGCCATGGAAAAGGAGATGTTTCTGCGTATGTGCATCCTGGACGTCTGCTCTGCAGCTCCCGAGGACCGCGAGGAGGTGGCAGCAAATGTGGCGGACCAGGATCCAACAGATCCCCCGGTTGAGCCGGAGACCACGACCACCACAAGCGCCCCAACAGTGGGAGATGAGTCGTACGTCTTCGGCTTCAGCCCCTACGTGGACTCTTCATCTCCTTTCCAACCGGATGGAGTCGTGGAAGTGGAGTCGCTCCCCGACGGCATGACCCGTCTCTCCTGGAGTCTGACAGGTCTTGACCCTGCCTGTAGCAGCCCATGCAGCCAGACGAACTGCTGCGGGATCCACATCCACGAAGGCAGAGCGCACAGCAATGCTTTGCTTAGCACGTCATAGCGAAAGGTGCTACTAAGTATAATGTCGTTGTAGTCTTTAATCGGGGGGGGGTTCCTGACACAGGAAGCAAATAGTTGCGTATGTTGTTCAACGTGAAAGCAAATAAATGTCAACGCTGAAGAAATGTGCCGGGTCGGGGGGGGGGGGGGGGGGGGGGAGGGGGGGGGACGGGGGGCCGGGATCCAAGAAGCTTGCTCATGGGCAGCACATGTTCTTGAATTTTCTTGATGTTCCCAGTGTTGGGTTTCGAGCTTGGAATCTGACATTTGCGGGTGCCGAGGGCTTCTTTGGGCAACGAGGCTCTGATCCGGGCGCCTAGGCATGCTCGAAGCTTTGTCCACTATGACGAAGACTTCGTGGGCCCATTTCGTGGTTTAGGGGTTTCAGGCCAAGTTTAGGGTTTGGGGTTTAGGGGTGGGCTGGTCAGGAATTTGTTGGGACTCATCCGCATGGTGGCGGGAACCACAAAAGCATACACTCCAGCAGCTGGGTAACGAATTGGCCACCCAGCTCTTCGACCAACACTCCACCCATCCTAGGCCCATCAAAGTGTCCGCAATCAAGTTTTCGTTTAGATCCAAGCACGAACTTGTATGCACAAACTCTTTCACAGCAAGAAACTGCAGACGAGTCAGATGTTTGTGTGTTTTATTGGCGCGCAGGCAAGAGCTGCGAGGATGATGCCGGTGGTCATTTCTGGGACAGCGCCATCCCACAGGATCCGTGGCTGTCCGTGAAGTACGACTCCAGCACGGACCCGGCGAACCTCCTTTCGAAGGTCGTGAAGACAGGCCTTGGAAATGAAGATGTCCTGGGCCGAACCTTGGTGATCCATGATGCGACCGGCGCACGAATTGCTTGTGGCATCATCGAGGACACGAGATCCTGCACAACATGATGTGCCCAGCCTCTGTAGGCTCACGAAAGAAGAGCCAAATCTAAGGAAAACCGCAGTGTATGGCAGGCATGTCTCTGCGTTCAACCCGCTTTCCAGGAGTCAACGACCACGGTCTTCGAGGAGTATCCCAATTACGACGGTGATTCGCCTCTGACATCTGGTGGCGTGAAGGTCTGGGTGTGTGTGTGTGTGTGTGTGAAATCGCATGCGAGTGACCTGTGTTGCGCGGTTCATTGCGGCATGATGGACGGACAGCCAAGCTGCGATCGCCCAATCCCTGTAGGTCGAGTCGGACGACACAACGCAGACCCTCAGCTGGCTGTTCACGCAAGGCTTGGACCCCCGGTGCACGGAGGCTGAGTGCACCGACGCCAACTGCTGTGGCGTTCACATCCACGAGGGCACGACCTGCTCGGACGCCGACGCCATCGGTGGCCACTACTGGAACAAGGAGCTCTATGCTGAAGATCCTTGGAAGGATGTGCGCTACGTGATTCAGGGTTCCATGCCGTCGGCGGTCAACGACCTCAGCGTCACAACTGGCTTCGCGGCCGAGGACATCAACGGACGAGCCGTGGTGGTTCACGACTACAACAGCGTTCGCGTTGGCTGTGCCATCATCGAGTTGCCTCCGGACGCGACGCCTGTGGAGGGTGATGACCTGTACGTTTTTGACTTCAGCCCGTATCCTGGCTCCTCATCTCCTTTCCAACCACAGGGAGTGGTCGAAGTCAAGTCCACGGAGGATAGCACGACGGTTCTGTCTTGGAGCCTGACGGGACTCGACCCCGGTTGCAGCAGCCAGTGCAGCCAGACGAATTGCTGCGGCATCCACATCCACGAAGGCAGGGCAAGGAAATGTGGTTTGTGCTGGGCCAAGCGACTGTTATTCGATCTCTGAGGATGGGGCTGCATGCATACACACCTCAATCAACCCAATCACGAGCCACGGATAGATATCATGTCGACTACGTGCATCAAAGCCCAGCCTGCCCGTATGAAGTTTGCTTGATTGCACCATCTCACACCATCTCTTCACTCGAAGTATAGCGGAGTCAATCCTCAAAACTGATGTCCTCGGACCATCCCTTCTGAGAAGATTTCAAAAAGCTTGGCATTGTGTAGGATTCGGGGTAGTTCGGTGCAGACATGCGCTTTGCCAGGCACGAGCTGCTCAGAGGATGCCGGCCCCCACCACTGGGGTGGCGATGGAGCAGATCCATGGCTGTCCGTGAAGTACGACTCCAGTACCGACCCAGCCAACGTCCTCTCCTTGGAGGTCGACACGGGCCTCGCTCGCAGTGATGTCCTGGGCCGAACCTTGGTGATCCATGATGCGACCGGCGCACGAATTGCTTGTGGCATCATCGAGGACACGAGATCCTGCACAACACGATGTGCCAAGCCTCAGTAGGCTCACGAAACCCTGCCACGCCCCAAAGAAGAGCCAAATCTAAGGAAAACTGCAGTGTATAGCAGGCATGTCTGCGTTCAACCCACTTTCCAGGAGTCAACGACCACGGTCTTCGAGGAGTATCCCAATTACGACGGTGATTCGCCTCTGACATCTGGTGGCGTGAAGGTCTGGGTGTTAGTGTGAAATCGGATGCGAGTGACCTGTGTTGCGCGATTCATTGTGGCATGATAGACGGACAGCCAAGCTGCGATCGCCCAATCCCTGCAGGTCGAGTCGGACGACACAACGCAGACCCTCAGCTGGCTGTTCACGCAAGGCTTGGACCCCCGGTGCACGGAGGCTGAGTGCACCGACGCCAACTGCTGTGGCGTTCACATCCACGAGGGCACGACCTGCTCGGACGCCGACGCCATCGGTGGCCACTACTGGAACAAGGAGCTCTATGCTGAAGATCCTTGGAAGGATGTGCGCTACGTGATTCAGGGTTCCATGCCGTCGGCGGTCAACGACCTCAGCGTCACAACTGGCTTCGCGGCCGAGGACATCAACGGACGAGCCGTGGTGGTTCACGACTACAACGGCGTTCGCGTTGGCTGTGCCACCATCAAGATCTGTGTGGATAGCAAGTCCACTGTGAAGGGCGCCATTGAGAAGCTCGAGGAGGCCGTCGATCAGATCAAGGATGCGCTTTCGGACCTGAGTGCAATGGTGAATGGCAGCAGCAAGGGGGGGCACTCCGGCTATCACTCCTCGCACTACTACGGCACTTACGGGACGGACAAGCAGACACCGTACAAGTGCAACAACATCTGCGCGGACATTTGCCAGACCCAGCACCCCGAGCCGGCGCACTGCCAGCATCAGTGCAAAACACGGCAGAATGCCATCCTGGACATCGCTCAGGTCTACTGCGCCCATGGTCTTTGCTCCAGCCTCATCCAGACCAACGAGACAAACGAAGAGGTCGGGCTGCTGCAGAGGCGAACGCAGCGTTCAGAAGAGGAGCTCGAGGCGGAAGTCGGGCTGGGAGCACAATGCCGCCAGACCTGGAAGTCTCTACATCCCTCTTGGGAATTATTTTAAAGTTTTTGTTTACATAAAACCCAAGAGGATAGTAAAACTATGATTTTTATGAAGGTTCTAAGGGGAGTAGAGGTATTGTCAGCTCTTCTGCAAGCGCGGCTTCTTGCTCCCGCTCGAGGACGCATACGATGAGATCCGGAAGTGCAGGGCGGAATGCGAGGCCAACTTTATGGCCTTCCAGGACCCCCTGCAGAAGTATGTGGACGCAGGCTGCTGTGCTTCGTGAGGCGCGCATGACGTAAGGTAGAGGAATACCCCCAAAAACACTAAAAACTATGCTATACGAAAAAACACAATAAACGTACTAAAAATGGCTCGCCTGCATCGAACTACGAGGCGCAGCATTTTAAACCAAAGTTTTGTGGCCAAGGCCGTGGGACCAGTTGCTGAAAGCACTGGCGTTGTCACGGATTTTTCACAGCATCGCAGGACTTGGCACCGCCGTGATTTCATGGTGATCTTCATTTTCGATCGACGACTTGTTGTGCAGAGTTCTTGCTGCTCTGCGTATGGGTTTCAAACGCACGAATGAGTAAGACATGACATACTCGGCTGCATTCCTACTCGCAAAATGCGGCGGTGGCCATTCCTGTCCATTCCTGCCTCTTGACCAGGGCAGTGGGCCCCATGTCAGCAGACTGCTCGTCGAGTGCCCCAGATGAACCCCTTCAGGTTAGTTCAGTCCACTCCAGTATTCAATGTCAACCTGCAGAGAGCCGAATTCTTGGAGCTGGTGAATCCATGCCCAGTTGAACACAACTCGAGAACTCCGAATGAGAGCCCGAAATCGGCTTTCTCCAGATCGATTTTAGTAAGACTCTCTGGTGCGGACTGTCAGAAGCCGACTACCGCGTGGAAACTGGAGGCTGCTCTGCCCCGACGCGAGCTGTGAGGGTTCGCCATCGTTAGTCGTGCATCGGCCTGGTTGACCCCAAACCTCAATCCAAGGGAGAGCATCTATTCCATGCAGGTTGACGTTGGCGGAGAAATATTGCAACAGCTGCCAAGCCGCATGAGAGACTGGGAATTCAGCGCTCGAGCGTCAGGTTTCTTGTTTGTGTTTGTTGCTGGACGCCTTTTTTGAAGGCCATGCGGCTCCATAAACTCTAACTCTAAGCCCGCTGGAACAATCCTTGAAGACTCATATTTGCCTGTATCACGCGTTGTGAAATCTGCTCAGGGATTCATCTAGGTGACGTGCGGCACAACTTTGTAAAGCTAATTATCGCACAAATACACCCCTCCCCCCAACAAAAATGTTTAGATCTAACGACACGTTAAAGGCAAAACTTGGCTACTTTCAAGAGCAATGAAAGGGTGGGTTTTTATCGAAGACAATACATGAGGTACGGATGCCAGTTTGCAATGAGTAGAGGTGGGTACGCCAGCACAGTACAATGGCACGGTACGGAGGTACGGGCAAGGGGTACGGGTGGTACGGTCCAGGGGTACGGGTTAGGGGTACGGGTACCGTACACGTACCCGTACCACTACCCTGTACCCCCGAACCGTACCACTCGTACCTCCGTACCGTACCCCCCGTACCATGTACCTGAACCTATCTCTCGTACCCTTTTTGGCCCTCGATAGAGCATTATACTCTTCAAAATAGATAAGAAAAAACGTTGGTCCCACTAGCAGGCCCACGTTCTGTTTGCTTCGGCATTTGCTTATTGCTGAGGCTTATGTTGGTGCGTATGTTTCGATTGGCCCGCCCGGAGCCTAACTGCAGAGCATCTTAGGTTGACACATGTTGATTACTTTTTTCGTTCATGACCCGGTGACCCGCTTGCATGGATGGGAGTACTCGGGTGTCGAACAGATTCGGAACCCCCCCCCCCCCCCCCCCCCCCACCCCTCCCCCCCCCCCCCCCCTCTGCGCCCCCATCCATTAGTACGTGCAGAATCAACATGAACAAGGCAAACCTTTCACGACCGAGGTGCGTAAAGTGGCTCAGGTTCAATTGCATCTCATTGCTGGCAACTGCGTGCTTGAGCAGCGACTGTGGCCGCGCGATTGGGACACATGTCATACGTGTGAACGATCTCATTCCTTGAGTCAAGTGGCTACCAGCAGCTTCAGGAACTGGCCCGGAAACTTCTTTTCTAATTCCAATGATATTGGCAGGGAGCAAAATTCGTTAAGGCCTTGCAGCCGTTGAATCCACAGTATTTGCCAAGACAACAGCTTGCAATCAGCCACGGAGCAGTAGTGTTCGAGCTCACAGCCGCCACCCGCAGAAGTCACTGCCGGGTGGTGCTGTGGTTCCTTCAGCATCCAAATCCTTGACCCCGAGTCCACTTCAGAGCCCGGCTTGCAGAATTCCCAGTGGAGCCAAGACTCCGACCATCAAATCCCTGACCAGCGGGTGCAATGTTGTGTGTCGGTGTCAGGAATGAGAATGACAAAGGCCCTCTTCCACACACCCCACACCCTGCCGAGCCAGCACGCCGTAGACTTGAGCGATGCGACGCATCACCCGAAAAAATGTGAACGACCATGCCAATGGTGCGGATTGCGACACTGCAGAGATCTGCAGAGTTTTCTTCTGCAGGTAGGCATCCGATCCGTCTCCCAAGGCCTGAGTTCAAGACCTCGCGCGCGACAGGAACCCCCAGCAAATCCCAGGAAATCCTGGGGCCCTTAGATGTTGAAGACCAGTTTTGGTGAGGTCTGGCCAGAGCAGTTCGCTTGCTGGTGACGCCACCGAGCTGCAGTATTTTAGGGTGGAGTTGAGCAACTGAATTTCTGGGCTGGTGGCAAGTCATGTACCTGCACATTTGTTAAAAGGCCCAGCGCATTCTTGTTGATTGTAGGCCTTTTTAGAAGCACCAAAGGAAGTGAACCCGGCACTTCGAGACAAGTTCGATGCAAGTCCGTCACCGCTCAGGTTCCAGACGTTGTGGATGTTGGTGCAAGGCTCCGGGAGGGGGGGGGGGGGGGAAGCTCATTCATGGGGGGGGCGGGGGGCGGGTGGGGCCGGGGGGAGAGGTTGCTGTACTGGATTTCGTATGCCTGCAGCTGCCAGGTTGTTGCAGTTCAAGGTGAGAGCGCTTGAGCATCAGGGGCCCCAAGCTGCTCTGCACCCAGGGCCTACGCTCCATTTCTCGCAATAATCCTGCTTAGTAGACAGACAGCCCAACTTAGGTGCTCGTACCATACAAGGAAGCCAAGACCCCGACACCTTAAAAAATGTCTTCGGTGCATGGTAGATCTGCTTCGCAATCCCGGCCGCTACACTGTGGCTGGACTAGTGGGCATCGTCGCACGTAGCGTTTCCAGGCCCCCGTCTGAAGATCCCAACCTAAACCGAGAAGTACTAGCGACTTGCAGAAAGTGGGGACAACATTTCACACCAGCCGAAACCTGACCACGCGACACAGGTCTGCTGCACAGCGCCCCTCGGGAAGAAAGGTATTGCTACTTACACCGGATAAGGATAGGCCGCTACAGTTGTCAAACATTCGGATCCGTGCTTGAAAGAAGATGATTGGCAGGGCTTTGGTTAGGTTGCTGGCTGCTCATGTTTACTGAATTCCGGTCTCGTTAGTATTTCCACCAAGTACTTGAGTATGGTTTGGTTTGTTCATGTTTGTACAATATTTTATGAGAGATCACCCGAGGAGGAGTTCTGTCTGTGTGAAAATCCCTCGCCGCCGGCTGCATCCATGTATAAACTTAGACTTGTGGAAGCCCGGAACCAGAGCCCTAACCGTTGCATACGCGGAAGACTTCTACACCGTCTTGCTAACTCTGTATCCCCTTTCCGTTCAAGAAATGTCTGAACCTCTAACCCTATAAATCCTAGAGCAGCAAGACCATGTAGTCTTCCTCCCCAAATGGCCTGAAGAGCTCGAGGTGATGACGCTGTTTTGGACGTTTGTGATGATCATCACCCTCGTGTTCATCTTTGCAGTGCCTCGGATCGATCTGGTACTCCCTCTCCCTCTCGGTCTCATTCTAAACCCTACCTGGAACGCCCTAGTTGCTGCTTTTTTGCAGCAACTATTGAAAGTGGTAGGAATTTCGCAAAAGTGGCCAGAATTCCTGTCACTGGCAAGTTAACAGTGATTGCCCATCAGAAAGTGGCGTAAAAAAGCGTAAAAGTGGCGTAAAAAAGCGTAAAGTGGCGTAAAAAAGCGTAGACAATGTATGGGTAAAACCTGCAACTTTGCAGTGGCTGGTTTTAAGCGTAAAAAGCGGCCACTTTCAATAGTTGCCACAAATTATTAGCAACTAGGCTTTCCAGGTAACCCTAAATCCTAAACCCTCTCCTGTGCCGAGGTTTTGGGAATGGAGTTGATCTCTGTGGATCTGACCCTGCATGGCCCCCAGCTAAAGTGAGATCCCACAGAGACTTCTCCCCAAGACGTGCGAGCCCTGTGGATCTGGGGTGGGCGTTGCTTTTGCATATGGAGCCCTCCACTTCCTAAGGACTTTGAAGGGCTTAGGAGCTGATGAAGCCTGAACAGCCTGGAGTTCTGATGTTGATCACGATCACATTCCAAGTCCCGTGCAGCTCTACCCTATTCCTGAGCCGGATCCAACACGCGAGCACTTTTGACATGGTCTTTAGGGCCCAAGACTTTGGGAGGTCCTTAGGTCCTTTGGGTCAAGGTGCCGGTCAAGGTGCTTAAGGCTCTCACCATACCTCGACCCCAAACGTACCTCGCCTGCACGGCTTTCCAGGCCACTTGACCATCCCTACAACATTGCTGCCGACAGAAACTTCCGGAGCTTGCTTGATGCTTCCTTGCCACTTGGCACCAGATTCAGGGGTTGCAACCTGACGCGACTTTAGGCTTCCCTGTGGGTTAAACGGATGTTCAAAGCTCAGGTCAGATGTTGGTTCTGTGAGCCCTAAGGTCCAAACGGGTGTAAAGTAGTCCCTTTGAGGTCTGGCCTGACAGCCTGTCCGTTACCAAAGGCTTCCTAAAAGGTGTGGGGGGGAGGGGGGGGGCGATTTTGATGTTTTCTTGCATGTCTCAGTGCGTAGCAATGGCTCATTGGGTCATTCTTTGTAGGGGTCAAGGGTTGCCCAAGGAACCCAGGGATGCCCCCTGGATTTCGATGTCACCTTGCACTCGTCCGTAGAACCCCTTTTGTACCCAGTAGCCCTGACTCCAGAGTGCAACGGGTGCGCGTCGGCCCCTGAGGATCCTCCTCCAGTGCTTCTGCACCTCGGCCAGGGAAAAGCGGGGGGGTTGAGCAGTTGAATTCAACTG